TCACTAATCACTTCTATTTGAACAGAAGAATGTATCCGCACCCCCACACAAACTTAAATAAAGCACAAGCCATAACACTTGGACAACTACAAACAAACTCATACTGTTCACTGGTTCAAATCAGGGAGTGGTATGGAGCGGAAGAAAAAGAAATTACATGCAAAGCCTGCAACGAAAACGAATGCACATTAGACCACATTCTCTGGGACTGCGGTTCATAGGGGCCTGGTATAATGCGTGAACGCTTTGAAAGGCTCACCAGACCACCAGCAGGCTCGATCTCCCTGTTCCATCATCGGAATAGCCAGGCTGATGCATTCGCGTCATGTACACGATAAAAAATAAAGTTTTAAAGAAGAAGAACAAGAAGGCTGAAGTGCTTCTAATTCAGGTTCATTGATTGTACCACATGCAGAGCTCATTAGGTTACCCTAGTGCTGTATGCATTACCGAAACAAAGTAAGTACATTACTTGTTACACTAACAAAAAAAAGGAAGTGTTACTGATCAATGTTACCAAGAAAAAAAAAGTTATGCATCACACCAGGAATACAAAAGTGGTCTATCACGTTGTCTGTTGTGACACATGATAACTCTATGGCACATAGTAAAGCCATTTTGCTCAGCGTGACATTAAGCACAAAATGAGATTCCATCCTCAATGCTCTTCGGAAAGGAAACATCACTCAACTCTCGAAAAATTTTCCATAGTTCTGGTGGTGCATCTACACACAAGACAAATGCTCAAATATTGTTGTCAAAGTGAAATAGTTCGGCCGCTTAGTTCCGAAGAAAAACATTTGAACATGGTACTCAACTTCTCTAATTTGTATACTTTCCTAAACAATTGCCAGTGTTTACATAATGATATTCAACGTCAGCCTCGTTCAGTCAAAAATTAAGTAACTATAAAAAGTGCATCCCCGCAGTAGCTGACAGAAAGAAGAAATTTCGTTCGGAAAAGAAGAAAAGGAAAGTTTTCTCAATTACGTGTTGTAAAATCTGAGCAACAATTACATTTGCACAACTTGCCTTGTGTCACAATGTATATATCCACAACTACACTAAATGGGCATGCAACGGATGCAGTAGGTGTTACTCATAAAGAGACACTAACGAGAAACAATGAGTTGTTTTAGATTGATAAACTGCACTCTGAGAACTCTAATGCCATATGCTTTAATGTCATAGGTTCATCATGAGTGGAGAAAATCAAGGTTAAAGTTTCATTTTTGAACTTCGCGTCGTAATCCCCGCGCATGACGCAAGAAATTCCACTGTGTATTTTTTGTATTTTCGTGACATTTGCTCGATAAAGTTTTCGGAAACTTCGTATGCTAAACTTATGGCACCTACAGATAACAACGAGCTTCAATTTTACAATTTTACTGATTAGAAGCTACATAGAACCCAGTAGATGCCTTCAAAATTTATGACGTCACAGTGTTTGATGCGGCAATCTCAAGGCGGCGTTTCCACCCATAGTCTCTTTTCGCGGGTTTTCTTGCTTACCAAGTGTCTTGTCACAGTAAGAGTGATGTTTTAAGGATTGTGAAATTGTACTTTTACGTGGAAAAGCGTCTTGCTCTTTCATCACCATCATGATCAATCTGACTACGTCCACTGCAGGACCAAGGCCTCTCCCATGCTCCGTCAGTCAACTCAAACCTGTGCTTGCTGCTGCCACTTTATACTCGCAAACTTCTTAATCTCTTCTGCCCACCTAACTTTCTGTTTCCCCTAGCCAGCTTGCCTTCTCTGTTGATCTAGTCAGTTATCCTTAATGACCAGCGGTTATGCTGTCTACACGCTACATGCCTGGCCCTTGTCCATTTTTTTTTTCTTCCACTATGATATCCTTAACCGTGGTTCGGTATCTGATCCACTCTGCTCTCTTCTTGTCTCGTAAGGCTACAACTATTATTTTCCTTTCCATTGCTCGCTGCGTCGTCCTCAATTTAAGCTCAACCCTCTTTGTAAGCATCCAGGCATCTGCTCCATAGGTAAGTGCGAGCAAGATGCAGCTGTTATATATCTTGATCTTGAGCTGACCTCCCAACATGCATACGTCAATTTAGCTTTTTAGTGTCCCTTTATTGACTGAAGGGCCGCCAGCAGTCCGACCCTGCAACAATAGAATGTCAAGGGATGTATGCTTAAGTGGCGAGATGAAAGAGTTTTGCGTGAAACTCCCACTATAATTGAAATAAAAATTAACGAGAAATTCTAGACCTCACATTACCGAAAGATGTTAACATAAGTATAAATGTTACCAGTTACAGTTCCAAGACGGTAATGAATATTTACTAAGTTACCCAAAAAAGTAATGCGTTACTAGCAGTTCCATTACTTGAAACGTGTCACTGACAACACTGGGTTAGCCTAAAGATGTATTGTTGGAACATAGTTGCATGCATTCTGTAAAGCATGATGGCATTGTTGTACATAGCTGGATATTATTAGAATTGTAACCCACTCGTTATCCTGGCTCTGGGACATGCTGACACCCTATTAACATAATTAAATAATCAGTAATCAAACCATTCAGTTACAAATATGTTAGTCATAACAAGAAAACGAATATATATGTAACTGATCAAAGAGCTTTTAAAGAGGAAGTGTGACTAAAGAAAGACACAATTGTAGAATATTATGTAAACAGGCGAACATATGCCTTAGTCAGTATTTCAACTTAATTTTATACTAATCTGCCATTCATGACCACATTGTCCTGTTAATATTTAAAGACCCTGAGCAAGCACCCCTACCAGCAAGCACTTGGCTCCTGTTTTTGGGAGATCAGAAATATGTGCCGATGACCAAGTGAATGCCCCTCCCTTCCCGCATTTTTTTTTCCAGCCTGTTCTCAACAACAGAATCCTTCAGCAGGGGTTGCCTCACAGGCTGTTCTAATGTCATCTTGAATCTTGGACTGCGACCAAGCAAAGGCCCCCCCCCCCCCCCATATTTTGTCTGATTATTCTTCACCGTAAGTGGGGTGAGCTTGCTCTGGGTTTTGCTACAAGCAGGTGCCCTACTGCTCCAACCACTGACATTATATGGGACAAGGAATGTCATTAAGATATAATTTTAGTCATCATAGCTTGTGGGAATTGAGGCTAGCCCGCTGCCTTTGCGCGGGCTTTGCCGCCTTTTCTGCCGTTCTCATGTCCCGACATGTCTGCCCTCCTTTGCTGTCTGTCGCGCTGAGAGAACGGAGTGACGTTTAACTCCCTCACCCGGTAGCGGATGTTGACTGTGGCGCCGCGCGTGGAGCCTCCCAAAAGGTTTTCGCGCGCTGCGTCAGGGGCAGACAGTACTCTCCGGGACAGCAAACGGTGAGCCACGCAATCTTTTCTGTCCGTCGACTCCCGTCGCTCGGGGCTCGTCGGACTTCGCTGACGGCGCCTCGCGCCCGATGCAAACGCTCACTTTTTGTTGCCCCACTGCGTACTCACGGCCGAAGGGCGGTACGGTGTCCTAGTGCGTGGCCTAGCTACGCCGACCCGTCTCCCTCCGAAGCCAACGCGAGTGCCTTCGCCCTCGCTCGAGCAACCGGGCCTTGGTCCCGGTGTCTCCGTGGATCACCTTTACCGCGGAGACGTGCTCGTGGCACCCTGTGTAGTACTTTGTGCCCGTGGCGTGGATAAGCCTACTTGCTTTCCTGCCGCGCCTTTGCAACGGGCTGTACTGCATTTGGTGTTGCCACAATAAAGTGTTGCGACTTTGAGCACTATCGTGTTCTCGCCACGGCGACGGTTAACGCGTGCCTTGCGGCTCGCTAAGACTGGACCCACGCTGGTGGCCGCACTCCTTCGGGATACGTGTACACCACAAGCTCAATAAAAACAAGGGGTCTTGTCTCTGCTTGCTTAGGAAAGTGAAAACAAGCTTTCGTTAATTGTTTCTGCTGTTACAAAGAAGCCTCTCTCCACCAGTTAACCTCGGGAAATCCTTCAATAGCCATAGGTCTCCAAGAATGATTTTTCTTAGCCCTCATTCCTGACGAAGTCCTTGTGGCATACTTTAAAGGGCCAGTAAACAACCCCTAGGTCTGAAAATCGTTGTAAAAAGAAACATGTGCACTTTTACTTCGTGAACATGCTGCCGCAAGAATTTTGCGAGTACATGCTATATTAAGGAAGTTACAGGGACTAGAACATCGCGTTCAGCTGGTTTAAAATTTTCGCATGGCCTCGCCACCCTTCTCCTTTAGAGGGAGGGGATGGCCCACTTCGCCCCACTTCGGCAATGTTACAAGACGTCAGCGATTGACCTCATTGGCGAACTCAATCAGCCGCAACGCACTTCCGCTTGCTGCGATGCCTGGTTGTTTACTGTTTGTCGATGCTTATCCGCAGCCCAATCACACGATTTGCAGCCGTCGATTTGCAGCAAAACTGCGTTTCCAAACCCGGACATGAAGTTGGCCCGATTTTTCTAGAGTTTAATTTTTTGGGAGCACACTGTCCTACCATCTGGGAGCAGCAAGACAAAACACAAATAATGGACCTTATAGTGGGTGTACTGATCAACAGGTGGCACGACAATCTGCTCACTCCCGAAAATTGGGTCAGCGAAGCGTCCTAATTTCGATGTTTGAAGCCTATGGAGAGTTTCGCAACTCGTATGATTGAATAGCTCTGGCGTAGCCTTGGGCGGGAACAGGAACTGTCGTTGACTTCACTACTGTTTGTTGAGACCTGGTTTTGACCAATCGATGAGCTGCACACTGCGTCACGTCGCCGATCGTCGCGTTGCTGTCATTGTGCGTGCAAGGAGGGTCAGACAGGCGTAGAAAAGAAGCGCGGGAATGGTTTTTCGAAATGGAGGCTCTACACGGCGGACAGCTCTGTAATATTCAGAAAATGTGATCGCTATGGTCTACTCTACAAATTACTGAGCTTGTTGGGGGGGGGTGTAAAAAAAAAGTTGGAGCCTGTTGACTGGGCCTTTAAAAGAGTCCGAATCACTGCAATGTAAAAGAATGACATATCTACCTGGTCGCAGAAAGGAAGTCTGATTCTTTGCCACTGTTGATGCAACCTTAGGTGCCACAACAGAAGCTGTAGCATTTGTTATGCCTGTGGCTGTTGAGACGACAGTAATCGCCTCCGCAGCAGTAGTGGGAACACTTGTACTCGTGGGTTGACATCGTACAAGCTTCCGGCGCCGCTTCGGAGCCTTGCGGTGGCTGAACAGCGTAGGCACAGCAAATGGCTTTAGTTTGCGGTCCGTACGTCTCGGCTCATACTGGTCCTCATCGAAGTGAGCCTGCAAAATTTTATGACAGATGCGAACAATCGATAAGTTTACCTTTGCAAATGAAAACTACCGACTACCCAATAACAGAAAGCCTAAACACCTTCAGATATCTCCATGTCGGCACCCTGAGGGTTCATCTACTCTCAATAAACAGCTCCTGCTTCTAGTGCGATATCCTAGTGAAGGCAGCCCTTGCACTGGTGAAGGTCAAGTAAATGCAGAAAACCTGCTGTGGACAACTTCAACAAGAAAGCACAGAAGATGGAGTATATTTAAGGAGACATCATCGTGTGACATCTAGCACCACTGACAGCTTCCACAGTGTTTCTTAAAATAGCTGGGTTGAGATAAAGTGCCAATATACATTGTGCCAGCTATTTGGCTGGGTGGCATACTTGCTAGTTAGGCCAGGACATGCTATGGCCAAGCTAATTAAGCCAAGTCGTGGTAAGACAGAGCTAATTATGCCACATCTTAATAAGACCATGCTAATAAAGCCATGTAAAGCTAGGACTGTGCTAACTAGAGCATGCTAGTTGATGTGCCAACTAAACCATGCGAACTAATGCAATGTTAATCATGATAATATAAGTAAAATCATGTTAATTAGACTCTACTTATATGATAATTAGGACCGTGCTAATTATAATTCAAATACCTTCATACAAACTATTACATTGTTAAATGAACCATAAATAATTATTGCCATTTTAACTGAAAGCTTAGCAATCAAAACAAAGCTGTTCAGTGTTATGGTAATTAAGCCCTAGCTCATTATATAAGCAAGATTAAGACAGAGCTGACACAATCTTCCCTTCAAAGCAGACAAGCAGTTTCCGACGCCCCGTGCACTCTTGTAGCCTATTTTATCAATGCTGCTATCACGCGTTCCGCACTTTGTCTTCGTGCGATGGCCATTGTAGAGCAATCTTGGAACAAACTTGTCTGCCCGAGAAGCTCAAGCCATCCAGCTTACAGAGCTCATGTTCGCTTACATGGCAAAAAGTGAGGTTTTGAAGGACTTTCAAGGCTATATGTGTGAATTTTGAAGGTCCACATTGTCTATTAGAAACCCAATTGACACATCTGCAGGGGACGATGGAGGCTTGAAATAACTAGAATTAATCGAAAAAGATAACATCATTAGAACAAACATCGTAAGCATGGCTCCGATAAATTTTTTTTTCTAGACAACATTCAATCACAGTTTCTCAGAGTTGCATAGATAATCTCTTTCAGTATGATGCAAGATGCAAACATTTACTATTCAATATGCCACTCCTTGCTGCTTTTCCTGAATTTTCATATCTATGTCAAATATCTCCTGCTGCTTGTTGTAGGCAGTCTTCTTAGGACTGTGTGACTTAATGATGGCTGTCAGGTCACTAGTTGCCTCCGCCTCTTCTACATACGAGTCTGATGTAGCAGTTAGTTTTTTAACAGTGACTTCTAGTTTAATTTTCTTTTTTGTAAGCACTCGACTTCCTCCTCAATCTAACATTTCTTTTTCTCGAACCCCTGCTCCTGCCTTTTGCGAGTTTCTAAATATGCAGTGTTGTTCACCGGCGTGGGGTAGTTGTATGGTGCTCGGCTGTAGACTCGATGGTCAGGAGTTCAACGGCGGCTGCGGCAGGAACTTTTCGATAGAGGAGAAATAATAAAGGCCTGTGTAGCGAGTGATGTCAGTGCATATTAGAGAACAACAGATGATCGAAATTTCCGGAGCCTTCCACTACACTCCCTGTCATAATTACCTCTTGGTTTTGGGACGTAAAATTCCGAGTAATATTATAATTAAAAATGCACAGTGTTTGTTCCTGGTAAATTCTTCATTCCATAATGATGGGCACATTATATATTCCACCTGCTATATTTACGGCATCACAAATAATGAACTGTGAAATGTGCAATAATATATATTCAAGAATATAATAATATATATTCAAACGAAATTCAAGAATTTTTAAGTATTCGTGAAAATTCCAACAAAAGGCCTCGAAAACAAACTTCAAATACAGGGTTTTCCAAGGTTTCAAGAACCTGCATGAATCCTGTGCATAGCACTCCTGGACACAGCATGCACTCCAAGAAAAAACTGACTATTCTGGGGGTAGTTCTACTGCACAACAACAATCGTCACCTGACTCGCTCGCATTTCCTTTATCAAAAATGCAGTGCTGGCCACTTTCCTGTCAGGAATGCTCTGTCACACTTATAACGCGCGCGCCACTCGGGACCGCAAACTACCGGAACCATGGTGATAGTGCGAGGAAAGTACTCGAATTAGATGATGATTATTGTTGTGCAGCGTTGTGTAGCAGAAACACTTCCCAAATACTCGATTTTTTTTTAGTGATATATTATTGATTGATTGATTTGTGGGGTTTAACGTCCCAAAACCACCATTTAATTATGAGAGAGGCCGTAGTGGAGGGCTCCGGAAATTTTGACTACCTGGGGTTCTTTTAACGTGCCCTCAAATCTGAGCACACGGGCCTACAACATTTCCACCTCCATCGGAAATGCAGCCGCCGCAGCCGGGATTTAAATTCGCGACTTGCGGGTCAGCAGCCGAGTACCTTAGCCACTAGACCACCGCGGCGGGGTTAGTGATATATTATTACTCCCACACAAAGATGACATCAGACAGGCTATAATAAAAACTGGTACTCGATGTACACGTCTTCAATCGATGTACACGTCTTCAAGGAATCGTCAGAAACGGCATGGTGTGCTCTTCTGAGTAGTAGGGTAACCTACGCCCGTGCCTGCTCTCATACATACACTACCACTCTGCACTCAAGCAGCGTGAGAGACAGAGGTTTGTTAATACCTCGCACCACCATGGTACAAACTTTTTCGCCAGCGGGTCATTGACTCCACTTGAATTCGAGTCCATGGCGGCGAACAATAGGTTGTATTCACGTGATGTCAGCTTGGCGGGCGCAGCAGCCAAAAGTGCGCCAGCTGTGCTGGTAACCACATGGCCACCATTTTGAAGGCCACCATTTTGAAGGCCACCATAGAATCAGCCGGCGGCATCCCGGAAGTTGAGTCCGGCGGTTCTAACAGGTGCGCACAAGTTACTGCAGGCACGTTGCTCTTGTTTTATTTTATTTGGATTTAGAAGGTACGAGATTTATCATTTGCGAAGCTGCTGCAGCCGTGGACAATGCCTGCTCGGCTCGCTTGAGCATGTACGCCGTGAAATTGGACGCTGATGCTAAACAGCGATACACCGACAAAGCGGCTCTCAGCAGTATGGATTGAACCACTCATTCTGACGAGCGAGGAGAGCGCATTTGACACCAGACTTATTTCGAAGGTGGAACTCTGGGACATAAAGGATTGCTTAGTGCATATACGAGAAGGTTTGTGGCGCACGAACGACTCAAAGCCAAGAAACCTGTTGGATGCTCGACAAGTGAGTTTGTCCACTAACCTTCACTGAAAAGACACGGTGACTGTGTCGCTGTGGGCACAAAGATAATCTGAAGTTATATTCTATCTGAAAGCGCTAAAGTCGAGTTTACCCATGAATTTAATACTAGTGTGATGTTTTACAAATATAGTTGAAGCGGCGGGCTTAACAAACTTGCACGTGAAAACACCATAGCATGGGGCAGATTAGATTATGATAAAGTGCATACGAGACTAAAATTTCGACATGGTTGGCTCACCCACAGCTTTATCAATCGAATGAAAATTATCTAGAGCAATAAATTATTCACTATACCAAGGTTACAAGCCACCTGTGCTTTGACCCAAATGTACTGAGCCAGGTCACATTAGGGAGGGGAACAAAAGCGTTTGCCTTTCATTTAAGCTCGCAGTGTACCGCGCGTGTATTAATATGAGTAGTCCAATGTTGAGTACTCCCCTGTTGTGCTTTTCGCAGACGGCTCTGCCAGAGCATTGAAACTGTTTGCATTTACTGTGTTATTGCGATTTCTTTATTTTCGTGCTTCGTTTGCATCCGAATTACTCAAAGCTGTCAGAATCCAAACTCATACGAGTTTTCATTCGCAGGTGAAGCACTCTCAAGCACTCACCCCACAGCCTTGTTAATATCAACCCGGAGAAAACGACTAATCACTCGCCACGACGCTTCACTGCAACGCACAGTGTGCGGCTACATGACCGCGAATAATTTTCGGCAAGGAATAGAATTTTACCGGTTTTGTGTTTTAAGGCTCGCCCCCCTTCCATTTTTGTGCGATGGCTTCACACAAATACAGCACAATCAAACGTGATAACGTATGATGGCTGCAAAAAACGGCTCAATTTAGTATCACGCAGAGCCACACACATGTGTACATAGCCCTAGTCATGGCGGCCGGAAGTAGTGTCTTCTCCGCATTGCCCGCATGTTGTGCAGATAGCCGAAGCGTAGGCAGCGAGAGCACGGGGTTGCTTGGAGGTGAGTACCAGGTGGTAGATTTACGGGGGTAAATTTACGTGGTAGATGCTGTGGATTTGTTTAAATGCATATGAAATAACTGGCCTAATCAGAAAAATGTTGGAACTGGCTTTTGTGTTGTTCATAATTCTGACCTTGTGCAGCTCAAGGCTCAAATGCTAGTGATTGCTTAGGTTGCTGGCTACTGTGCGCATGCTACAAAGTTCTTAAGTGCAAGAGCTGCCAAGGACACTTGGTCACTGCTGTTAATGAGGCCAAAACAGAAGAGGACAGCCACTCTTAGACCACAAAACTGGTTAGAAGTGGCCTCCAATTTTCCTCTGCCCTTGCGATAACAGTAGTAGTGTTCGCAGAGGTTGAAGTAAGAAAGTTTATGATGCCAAGCTACTCTACTCAGGCCACACCAAAGAAACGTCGTTCGGCAACTCGCACTGGACTCTCTGCCAAGGCTTGACGACATAGATGCCTACAAAAATGGGCACATGTATGAACTTCTAATCTCATTGATAGCTAACTGTGCAGTACATATAATGCTGAATAATCTGCACAGGCAAAAAAATTACCTTTTATGCATTGAAATAGAACAGAT